TTTACTTATAAGAACTTAAAACATAGTAGGATTGTCTCCAGTTTAATTTACCTAAGATGTGTCTCTTAATTTGTCAAAAGGTCTTCAACTTTTTTAAATGAAGAGTTTCTGATGAAATCCCCATGTCTTCCATCTTTTAACTATCATAACTGGATATAATAACTGGGTATTTCTATCCTTTGAGGGATAGAAAGCATTTTATATGAATATTTAAGTATTTTTTTATAGAAATCACTAACTTAAAAATACAGATATAGAAGGAAAAGTTACAGGTCTATTAAAAGGACATGAATTCTGTGGCTGGTTCTCTGATCACCTTCCCGGGGGGAGGGGCGGGGCAGTCTTACCAGGCCACAGAGGAAGACAATGCAGCAAGTCCTGATGAGACCTGATAGGCTAGGATCAGAGGGAAGGAGAGGAGGACCTCCCCTATCAGCGGACTGGGGGAAGGGCACAGGAGATGAGGGAAGAAGGTGAGATTGGGAGGGGCTGAGGGAGTGGGCTACAGCTGGGACACAACGTGAATAAATTGTAACAAGTAAAATTTTTAAATAAATGAATGAATGAATTCTAAAAAATTTAAAAAAGAAAGAGTGATATCATAAAAAGTTCTGTAATCCATTTGATGCCAAAGAAGTGAAACTGTAATCAGCAGTGGGCCATAAATCAAATGTCATCATGTGAATCCAAGGAGGCCAGTTTCATGATTTCCAAATAAATGTTTTCTTAATTGCCTGGTGCCAAGATAGAATTCCTTTGAGGACTTAAAATTAGAACACACTAAACTTTGTTAAAGTTAAAAATTTCTACAGAACAGAGCAATTTTCACAACTCAAGGCTGCTTAGTGGATAAAAACACTTGCTGAATAGGCCTGATGACCCGCGTAAAGGTTGAACTAAATCTACACACTTGTCCTTTTGTTTTCACATGTGTGTGATAGCATGCACATTGTGTTCCCTGTCAATTGTTGAAAACTGGAAATGATATAATATTTAATAAGAAAGTAAGTAAAATGGGTTATCTACAAGGTTGAATATTTAACTACTAAAATACTGTTATAAAGTTATATATGATAAGCAAAGTGTAAAATGTGAGGGTACAAATATGTTCTATGTGCTGTCACCCATAAAAAAAAAAAAAAACTAAACTAAATGCTAAAATCTGTACCCCTAAAGAAGCTAAGCAAGAAGGAAGACCCTGGGTTAGATGCTCAATTCTCATTCAGAAAGGCAAATGGGATAGATATCAGAAAAGGGTAAAAATAAGGAACAAGACAGGAGCCTACAGCAGAGGGCCTCTGAAAGACTCTACCTACCAGGGCATTAAAGCAGATGCTGAGACTCAGCCAAACTTTGGGCAGAGTGCAGGGAATCTTATGAAAGAAGGGAGAGATAGAAAGACCTGGAAGGGACTGGAGCTCCACAAGGAGAGCAACAGAACCAAAAAATCTGGGCCCAGGGGTCTTTTCTGAGACTGATACTCCCACGAAGGACCATTCATGGAGATAACTTAGAACCCCTGCACAGATGTAGCCCACAGCAGCTCATCCAAATGGGCTCCCTAGTAAGAGGAACAGGGGCTGTCTCTGACATGGACTCAGTGGCTGGCTCTTTGATCACTTCCCCCAGAGGGGGGAGCAGCCTTACCAGGCCACAAAGGAGGACAATGCAGCCAGTCCTGATGAAACCTGATAGGCTAGGGTCAGAAGGAAGGGGAGGAGGACCTCCCCTATCAGTGGACTGGGGAAGGGGCATGGGAGGAGAAGAGGGAGTGAAGGTAGGATTGGGAGGGCTGAGGGAGGGGGCTACAGCTGGGATACAAATTGAATAAATTGTAATAAATTAAAAAAATTTAAAATTTAAAAAAATTTAAAAAACCAAATGCATTAAAAATACTAAAAGGCAATGTGACATTAAGGACAATGCATTCCCACTAGTGGAAGAACTATCTACTTTTGGTGTGCTGTGCTCTCCTTTATTCTTTATATTTGCTTTACTAAACATTCTTTAGTAGAAAAGAGAACACTTAGAAGTAAAAAGTAATTTTCCTTAGACAAAATAAAATAAAATAAATTTAAAAAAACCCTCCCAAAACAAACAGCCCACTCCTGAACTAACTGTACAGTTAACTAGAGGGAAAAGTTGCTTCCTAACATAGCATTAATGAAACACTACTCAAGGACATTCATAGAACAGAAAACTAGCAACCACTACTGCCCAAAATAGTTTAATAGCCTAAATGATGTTATTCTTTTCTCATTGTGCTAATTTTACAAAATTAGCTTCTGTAATTCATAAGCCAGCTCTGCAAAGATTTTACGAAGTATTATATTAGGAAGCTAGAGTCTACCACCCCCTTGCCTTCCCTTTTGTGTGCAAAATTTACACAGTGATCTAGCGCATGAATAATGCTTCAGATGACGTAATTATATTTCTTGGTGTTAAGCCTTTTGATAGATTAAACCAAAATTAATGTCTCTTTTTGTATACTAAATTTTTCCTAAAAGGGAAACTGACTTCTTCCAAGCATTATAAAAATATATCTTTGTGTGTGTGTGTGTGTGAGTGATGGAACAGAAGATGAGCAGCCAATTCCAAATAAAAGTATTTAAAACATAGATGTTGAAACTAAACCCTAAAATTTGTTTCAGGAGATGACCTGAGTTCAATTCTCAGCACCCATATGTTTGAAGGAGAGAACCATCTTCTGAAAGCTGTACTCTGACCAACACCCACCCACCCACTCACCCACCCACCCACCCACACACACACACACACACACACTATAAGAATAATTCTAGTTTTTAAATTTCTCAGGATACAACTTGAAGAAAAAATATCTAAAACACATAAATTCTAAAACATATAAGCCTACAACATTAAAATATAGTATATAAAAGAACTTCCATAACAGCAAATATCATATTTTGCTAAGTTTTCTTTATACCCTATTAACATTTCTCACTGTAATCATTGTAGTATGTTAAGCAATGAGAATCTAAAACAATGTAAAAGAGTTGAAAATTTCACTATTTTACTTATAATTTGCATGGTGGTGTAAGTCTTCCTGCAGCTTCCTTATGAAACTTCAGAAAACCATTCTGCAACCTGGAACACCTACAGACTTTTCAGTACAGTAACTGCTAGACCATTCCACCTTTCTGTGCTTTAGCATCAACAATCACAAAACTACCACATAATGCTCACTGTAAAAAGAAAAAAGCACAAGGGAGGCGGAATCTACGGGCTAAACGTCTAGCTTTTAACATAAAATAATTTTATGCTGATCTGACAGGCGTCTTCGATCACAAATGTAACTGAGCTGACAGTCAGAGGCATTGTTACTCCACAGTGCCCCCTAGCTCCTGTCCCAAGAAATATCAGTTTGAAAGGGACACCATCAGAACTGCCACCCTCAAGATAAAGAAAGTGTCAGTTACCATCCGCTTCACTTAAGCAGCTCTCAGATACAACTTTAACTAAACTCTGACAACAGCTGACCACTAAATACTGCTAATAGGAAAAGATGGTACGAGCGTACTTGGTATCCAACCACACAACAATGTAACCCAAAGTTCAGACTTTATCTGTAATGTGTCATTTTTGACAGTCATAAAGATACCCATTTAAGCTGTTTCCTTTTTATTTAACATAGGGGTAAAGGTACATTTGACCATAGCTCTTTACAGGAACTAAACAACTTAATTCATTTTAAAAAAATGCTGGGATCAGATTAAGCTATGCAAAAATGTAGTAATGTCAATATACTTATCATTACAAGCAATCTTGATTCATAACACTGGTCAATTTGTGAAAGGAAAAATTTGACCTTGGTACTGATGCCCTAAAGAAGTACGACTTAAGTGGTGTGTTGGGGATCCGTGAGGCAAAAAAGGTTAAGACGTGTTAGACGTATCCTCCTCCTTTATGGAAATGGACATGAAGCAAAAACTTTTAAAGTACAACAGCTAAGTAAATAGTAAGGGTTTTAAATACCCTTCACCTTACGTAAGCGTAAGTAATGGGGGGCGGGTGTCATATTCAAAGGTTAGAACGTTCTTAAGAACGTGCTAGGTAAAAAGGAAAAAACCCGAACGGGATGAAAACTGGGGAGAGAAACTGAAAACGGGTGAAACAGCAGTGGCAGCACAAGGCAGAACAGAGTACGTCAAAACCACTAGGTTGTAGTCTAAGAAATGGTTTTATTTCTATCGTTTTTCCAAGGTATTTAATTTGCACTTCTTAAAATAGAGACCCCGAGGAGAGCAGCTTGAGGCATGGAAGGAAGGGGGTGGGCTAGGTAAGAACAGAGACTTGGGGAGAAAATATGTGCGGTGCATTAGAATGTACCATGGAGGGGGATGCTCGAGTCACTGTCAGAAAGCAGCCGAGGGCTGAGCAGAGTCCATCGGATGTGGCTTAAGGAATGCGTGCTCGGAGCCAGTATGCACACCTGGTAAAAGGGACAACCCCAGACGACGGTGCAGGGCTGGATGACCATCTTTAACCGGTTCTATTGTCTGGTGCATTAGATCTACCTCCGGGAGAGCTCAAGCCAGGCACGGTAGCAGAGAGTCTTGCGGGCCCAAAGCAGAGAAGATGGACAGCGGTCCAGACACACCGGTCCGGTCCGCGGCGCCCCCTTCTCGCGGGACAGAGAGGGACGCCTGGTCCGGGCCGCGCTCCGACTCCGCCGAGCCCGGGAGCTGCCGGTCCCCTTCCCCGGCTGGCGACGTTGGTCCCCGCGCGGCCACGGAGCACCGAGACTTCCCCTCCCACCCCACCCCCAGCCGAAAGCCGGGAAGACGCGGAACTTGGGCTCGGGAGCCGAGGCCACAGACCATGTCCCCGGGTGGGAGAGTCGGGACGGAAGCCTGTGTGCCCTCCCGGGGACACCTCCTCCCCCCGACCTGCGCCCCGCGGTCCCCGCCGCGCCAGGCCCGCCGTCCCCCGCCCGGGGCGCAACCACGCCACGCTCCCGCCGAACCCCGGGGCCGCACCTCCGTCTTGGTGATCCGGTGCCGCCCCAGCTTCACCACGGCGAAGTTGCCCTTGCCCAGCGTGCCCTCGATGTCGTAGAACCCCACCCGGACCGGCCCGCGCTGCAAGTGCCTCGGGCCATCCGCCATGACCATGCTGGGCCCCCGCTGCAGGACACGGCGACGGGAACGCGAACGAGCGGGCCGGCGCGGAGCGGCGCGGGCAGGAGGGCGTCGGGCGGCGCGGCTCGGCTCTGGACGACGGCCGCGGCTCTCGCTCGGGCGCTGCTTCCCTCCCGCCCCACAGGGCCCAGCCAGGCGCGCGCCGGCGCTGACGTGCGCCGACGTCAGGGGGCCGGGGCAGGGGGCGGGGGCGGGCCTCCACCGGTCACCATGGCTACCGCGGCAGCGCCGACGTCGGCGGCGGGCGGGCCGGCCGGGCACCGCGCTTCCGCCCGCGGAGCCCTCCTCAGCCCTCTCAATCCTCGCCGCGGCCGGGGGCGGGCGCGCCGTCCGCCCCGCCCCGCTCTGCCCCGTCCCGCCCCTCCTGCCTTCCAGCAGAAGGGCGAGAGCGAGCCCTGGTGGGCTGTGCGGAGGGTGCGCCGAGCCGCCGGAGCGCCTCCGCCAGGGTCGCCCTGCAGGCTCCGCAGGCCCGCGGCCCTTCCCGCCAAAACCTCGCCCTCCGTAGACCGCGGCGCTAAATTTGGAGCATCGCGGCTGAGCAACGCGTTGCTCACAGCCTCTCGTCTTTGTGTCCTTTTTAGCCCGCTTCCTCGGCACCCTAAATGTCTCTCCGCTTTCTGACGTCTGTGAGCGTTCCTACTCACAGCAGTCGGTCACTTACAAATAATAATGGCAAAAAAAAAAAAAAAAAATGTCAGCGCTGAAGAGACCCTACAGATGACTAAGTCAGGGATTCGGGAGTGCTAAAGGGCTTCGAAGCCTGGAACCTCTGAAATGTGGCACAGTTATACTTATTCGAGAGTGTCTCTGGGGAGAGGTGACCCTACCTTATGTCATACTTCCTCCCAGGGTTTGGGAGCTTGTAAACGGTTAAAAAGTATTTAATCCGATTTGTTTCCAGACGATGCAGCAGGCTGCTAGAATGAAGGGAGTTGCCAACGTCACACAGGTAATGCTAGAATTCAAGTTATAAACCATCACATCAGTCTTCCATAAGGTGACCTAAGGAAACAGCGACATTTTAATATCTTGAAATATATCATGTGCGTCCAGATCTTGGTTCCTGGATACCCACTGACCATGAAAAGAAACCCAGTTCATTTGGAGTAATGGCTCAGTCCAAGGCAGACACGGAAAGTATAAGATGCTCTTGAAAGGTCTTATACGACTAAACAAGGGGATTTCTTGTATACAACTGGAAGAGTATGTCAAACGAGTAGACAGCTCAAAGGGTCCCACCATTGCCAAATCTGAGTCAATTTGAGCATCACAAATGAACAATTTTAGAACTGCATTATAACACGTACTACTTTTACATCTTATTTATTTTGTGTAGCCATCAGAGGACAGGCTGTAGGATCTGGTTCTCATCTTCTACTATGTGGGTCCTAGTGATAGAACTACAGTGCTCAGTATTGCAGGTAACTATCCAGTGAGCCATCTCTGGGGCCTACATTGGTTTTTTGTTTGTTTGTTTCTTTTGTTTGCTTTTGAAACAGAGTCTCACTATGTAGCCCTGAATAGATCTAGAACTTGCTATGTAGACCAGGCTGGCTCATGCTTAACAGAGAGCTGTCTCCTGAGTGCTGAAATTAAAAGCACCTGTAACCATTCCCAGCCCACAGTAAAGTTTTAAGAGGAGCCCATACTTCATGTGTTTACTTTAACTCTTTTAGACAGGCTCTCAGAAATATGGTATTTGTGCTAGCCCCACCCATAAATGTCTATTCCTTCCTTCCTTCCTCCTCCTCTCCCTCCCTCCTTTTCCTTTTCTTTTCTGTTTCTCTCTCTCTCTCTCTGTCTTCTCTGTCTCTCTGTCTGACTGTTTTGTCTGTCTGCCTCTTTCTCTCTCTCTAAGTTCAGGAAACTCAGACAAAGAACCACTGAGCTATATTCCCAAGCTTAACTTTTAGATAAGTATAAACACAGGATAAGTGAGAGGAGGATTCATGTAGAAATTTATGAAATCACCATTTTGTGGCTGCTATAGTAATAATTGGTTCAGATAAGTATTACTAAAAGGTGTTAAAGTCATTGGGTAACATTTGGTTGAAGAAAGGGATATTTATATAGTCTCAAATGTCTGTGGATTTAAAATCATCGGAAAGATTAACAAAGGACAACAAATAACAGTGGAGAAATTTGACAGACACTTTCCTGAAAAAATGATCCAAGCTGCCAATTGAATAAAATGACACAAAAGTCCCTTTGATTTGAAGTACTCAGGACACATCTCTTAGGTGATGTTCCTGTAAAAATACAGATTCTGAATCAGAAAAAAAAGTAAGCTGACCAAATCTTCCCCCTAACTCTCCTGCACACTTAAAAGATGTCATTGCCATGAAAGAAAGACTGAGGAAGAATTCTAGATTTAAGGTCCTAAGAGACATGCCACTAAATGCAGCACATAGTCCTAGAAAAACGTGTTACCAAGGAATACTGCCAGGACAAGTGTTGAAAATGGAATTAGATTGTATATTAGATAAAAGTATTGTTTCAATGTTGATTCTTTTAAGATTTATTTTACTATGTCGGATGGTAGTGGCACTCAGGAGGCAGGAAGCGAATCTTTGTGAGTTCCAGGCCAGCCTTAGCTGTTACACAGAAAAACCTCGTCTCAAAAAAACATGTATTTTACTTTTAGTTATGTGAGGGTATTTACACAAATGTGTGAGTGCAAATGCCCACAGGGTCCCCCAAAGGGCATTAATTCCTTTCAGCTGGAGTTACAGGTGGTGGTGAGACACCTGATGTGGGTGTGGGAACTGAACTCAGGTCCTCTGAAAGAACAGTACTTGCTTTTAACTACTGGGCTGTCTCTCCAGCCCTCAGTGCTAGGTTTCTAATCGTAGTACTGTGTTATGAAAGAAAGTATCCATTATTAAGAAATGCACACTGAAGTATTTATGAATGAAAGTTTGTGATGTAGGCCACTTATTCTCAAATAGTTTAACAAAGACAGAGAATGACAAAGGGCCAGTGGCAAAGAAACTGAAACCAGGCAAAGAATGTTTAATTGTTCTTACAACTTTTCTGTAGGTTTAATTTTTAATGAAAATTAATATACATGTGATGTGTGTGTGTGTGTGTGTGTGTGTGTGTGTGTGTGTGTGTTACCAGGAATTGAGGAATTGAACCCAGGGCTTTGTGCATGCTAGGTAAATACTACTGACCCACATCACATTTCTATTTTTAGTGCAAGTTTTGCCATCTGCTTCTCTCTGTGCTTCGATATTTAATTCTCCCAAATTATTCTGTACTTTGTTGTAAGGTTTATTGTTTTGAACATTAGGGGAGAAGCAGAAGACTCCTATAACACTGAGAGATTTCTAGATTAAGGAGAATGGTACTTGATATGCCTCTAACTAGGCCAGGAGCCCACATACATACCTCTCTGTTCAAAGATCATTCTTAGTCAGATGCATAGATGTTAATTGTTCTGGGGTGGATTCCTTTGGGAATGGATAAAAAAGTCACTTATTCCACAGCCGGAAAGTACATACAGACTCACTCAACAGCCTCCTCTTTAAAGGACACCTTTTAAACAGAAAGTGACTCATTTCTGTCTGATTACTGGAATCAGATCATCAAGCCAACCACCTACTTGCACAATTTTGGGAAAAAGAGCTGCTTTGAGTCCAGAAGGAAAAGAAAGGAGTGAAAGAGGGTACCAAAAGTTTTTCTTTTTGTTTGTTTGTAAGAAAACCAGAGTTCATTGTCAGTGTGCTGGTGTCTACAGGTTAGAGGAAGAGGGATCAGAGGTAGGAAGAAATATGCCAAGCACCAATATTGCCTGTATAGAAATGCAGTGGGCGTTCATTGAAAATGGCAAGAAGGTTGTAAATGTCACTCTGAAGAACTACATGTAGACTAACTTACAGTTCTTTCACTCTGGACTGCACGATTCAGCTTTACTTCTCTGTTCCAAAAGATGTGGTTCCTGTGAGTTGTTAGCTATATTAGCAATAGTTAATTCCTTTTAATTGAGTTTAATATTTATTTTTGTATGGGTGCTTGTGTGGGGGGTGAGCATGCTATAGCATGTGTGTAGAGGTCAGAGGGCAACTTGGGGGAGTTGCTTTTCTCCTTCCATTATGTGGGTCCTGGTGACTGAACTCAAGTCATCAGGCTTGGCAAGTGCGTTTACCCACAGAGCCATCTCTCCCACTCCACATTTTTTTTTTCTTTTGGAGACAGGGTTTCTCGGTGTAGCCCTAGCCCTGGCTGTCCTGGAATTCACTCTGTAGAGCAAGTTGGCCTCAAACTCAGATATCCACCTGCCTGTGTCTGAGTGGTGGGTTTAAAGGCATGCACCACCACCGCCCGGTCTGGCTCCACATTTTCACAATTACTAATTTCATCTAACTCCTGCTCTCCTCTCCTCTTTAGCTCCCCTTTTCTGTTTATATGCATCCATCTTCAAAGAGTAACAAAAGGGTAAGGAGTAAATGGAAACAAAAAGAAAAAGACTTCTGGCAGTCACCTTTTCAGCTCTGCTTTTAGTATCTGTGAAGCAGAACAACTGAATTACCAGAGTTTTAATTACATGACATTTCAAATGCGACTCCCCCAGATGACGCTATGAGTCCACTACATTTATTATTGAGTTGAGTAAAATAACTTAACACTTCTAAAGGTAAAAGAACATAAGTATACAGAGAAACAAGGGAAGTGTAGAGAGACTGAGAAGAATTAAGGCTCAATTAGTATGAATACAGTCATCTTATACACAAGAAAGGAGAGGAGTTGGCAACAAGCTAATGAAAAGGTGCTGTGAATCTGAGGAAGAAGCAACTTCATGGCTCACTGTGCAATGCATACATATTTTGTGGGAGTAAAACAGCTTGTGCACTTGTAAAACAAGATGCATACCAGTTGTTCCTTGACTGTGAACGTCTGCAAGCTTTCTCTTTTATCTTTCCAGAGCCAAAGGCAGGTCAATATGCTAGTAACTTGGGATTGGATTTAGAATCCATTCGAGGAAATAGCTGAAGAAGTTTATTGATTATAGTTGTTCAGATGATTTTGCTTAGAAAAAAGTAGGTTACAAGGGCAAAACGAACACTACACTTTATAGGAACAATGGTGAAAGTACATGACAAAAATCCAAGTCTCTAGCTCATGCCAATTCCAATTG